TAATGATTTATTTAGGATTTTAGCAAATTTTTGTATGTAAAACTAATATGTAACTTTCTTTTCTTGTACTGTCTTTGAGGCTAGGCAAGTTACCCTAGCCTCATAGAATTAATCTGGCATTTTTTCTATTTTCTTTCACAATTTCTTTTTTATTGAAGTTTGGTTAAACTCTTCCATAAAACGGTCTAGGTCAGAAGCTTTAGGAGAATGAGATCTTCAATCTCCATGTCTATTTCTTGAGAAATTTCTTAGAATTTCTTAATTTCTTAGATTATAGATGTTTTCCATTTTCCTGCATTGAAACTTAGCATTTTAAGGTTTGCCATAAATGTATTCATTTCATTTAGGTTATCAAATATATTGGTGTGTAGTTGTGGGCCCAAGTAACCTCATTTATACAATGGGTACAGTTAGAACGTTTGTTCATGAGGCTGTTTTGAGACTTAAATGATGGAAAGTACTCATATGTATATGTGGAAAGGGCCTCTTCAACTATATTTATTGCTACTATCATCTCCCATGTATCAGTTATGGAGCTGAGCTGCAAGTAGCAGAAAATACAACAATTAAACGATTAAGAAGTTATCATTTCACACATTGAAAGTCATAGGTATGACAAACTCCAGCTTTGGTTCTGTCAGCAGCTCAAAGCTTCCATCCAGACTGGATTTTGTCCATTTCTCAGCTCTGCTATCATCAGGGTTTCATCCTTAGGCTGCTTTTCAGTGTGGTAGAAAAATGGTGGTTAGTGGTCTTTGGAGCTACAGGCTGTCTTGCTACTTTCCAATAGAAGAAAGAGAAAGAAACCTTCACCTCAGACATAGAACATAGATCTTCTGTATAGTCAGATAGTGCCAACTTGGGTCACATGCCAACTTTGAACCTGAAAGAGTCACCAAGAGTCATCACATAATGATGGCTCAAACAGTCAACAGCCTCAACTGGACCAGGAATCGGAGAGAGTGCCTGCATGAGACCAAGGTTCAGATGAGAAGGATAGGATGGATGAGTGATGGATGGACGGATAGATGGATAGATGAATGAATGAATGAATATCGGATTGGCAACCACTGCTGTCTGCTGCTCACAAATCCCCAAGAGCTACTGTCATTAACCAAGCACTACTAAGAGTTCTAAGCATACCTACAGTTTCCCCTATAGATTAATGTATGTCTCTTCTACTAAACAGAAAAGTGCCTTGTGTCCTTAGTGCCCAGAACATGACCTGACACCCAGTAGATCCTCAATAAATATTTGTCAGCTGATTAAATTGATGAATGGTCTTAGATTTCCTTACGAGAATCCTATGAGGTGGGTAGTATTACTGTCCCTGTTATACAGATGAGGAAATCAAGACTCAGGGAGGTGACAGGTCAGGATTTGAACCCAGATCTATGACACTTTCTTGTCTATAATGACAGAAACAAGGGGTGCTGGAAGGAGGTCTGGGGACTGGCCCTGGAGGACGGGGTTGGGCGCAACAATGGTTTCTGCTGCTCTGCAGTACCCCAGAGTTCTTGGCATGGGGTCATGACACTTTCTTGTCTATAATGACAGAAACAAGGGGTGCTGGAAGGAGGTCTGGGGACTGGCCCTGGAGGACAGGGTTGGGCGCAACAATGGTTTCTGCTGCTCTGCAGTACCCCAGAGTTCTTGGCATGGGGTCTGATGGCAAGGTGGGTCAAGTCAGTGAAATAAATGTGCCGTGTGGTGAGCTCTAAGGTTTGTCAGAGCTGGCCCCCATCCTGGGAAGGAAGGTCTGGAGCCAAGAGAGGCAGGACTTAAGCATCCTCATAGTTTTTAAATTTTCCTTCCTTTGGGGGATTTATTCTTTTTTTGCCAGAAGTTCCACTGGGTCCTGCAATTTATTCCAAGCATGGTGTAGGGCGATTTATATTTATTCTCTTTATACTTACCTGCTTATTTTTCTCATCAACCAACCTTTATTGTGTTCTAGATCCTGTGTATTTGCTCTGTGCTGCAGCCCAGAGATACAATGCTGGGTAAACTTTCAACCAGAATAAGTCCTTTGAGCAGGCATTGCCTGCCAGATCCTCTGCAGGTGTTTTTCTTTATTTCTCACATCAATCTTGCAGTGCATAATTTCACAGATGAAGAATATGGGTCTCGGGGAGGAGGTGGTGACATGCATGAATCACTCAGCAAGAAGAGGGTGTGCAGGCCTGCAACCAAGGTCTCCTAACTCCAGCCCCCAACCCACCTTTTCCATCACACCACACGATGTCACTGGTCCCTTGTCCTTTTCCAGTTATTGCCCAGGGCCTCATGAAGCACAATGCAGAGAGCCGAATCCAGAGCATCCACCTCCTGGACAGTCTGAATGCGTTGGGGCAGATGTCCCCAGGGGTGGTGGGCTGGCTGATCAGCAGCATGAAGCCCCAGCAGCATCAAGTGGACAGGTAAGACCCCAAACCCCATCCCTGGCCCTGGCACTCCCGACAGAACTCTGGCGCAGAGAGCAGAGCTGGGATGGGGGTGCAAGGCCTGTGAAAAGGAAAAAAGATGATTGAAGAAAAGATGGTGGAAGGCCCAGTATGAGGATGAGTAGAAGCCCAAAGCTAGGTGTCCTTTGGGGAGATGGGAGAACAGGGTAATTAAAAGAGACAGCTCAGGAGTGTCTGTGTCTAAATCCTGGCTCTGCTACCAACATTGGGGAAACTGCTTGATCACTCTGGACTCATCTGTAAAATGGGTGCCTAGTGCACAGCTTGGATAAACATCTGGGGTACCAAATGAGCCCAGGACTAGAGTTGAGCATCTGATTCTCCACTCTATGGCTTGGTAGCTGTATGACTGGGCAAAGCATTTGAGCCCTATGAGCTTCAGCCTTGAGTTCTCATCAATGAAATGGGCATAATTATTGTCCCTGCCTCTGGGAGTTGTTGGGAGCTCTCAGAATCATGCAGGTGACTTGTCTGGTGTGCACAGGGAATGTGTGACCATTGGTGGCTGTGATTCGCCTTGTGGAACTGGGCCTGACCTGCTTACATCCACCTTGACTCGTTTCTCCCAGATGTCTGCTCAGCTTCCCAGGTCTCCTAACTGCTCAGCTGCAGCCCAGTCTTCCACACTGCTCTGCCCTTGAGCTCCCCTCTCTCTGATTCAAATCCCTCATTCTCTCCATTTTAATGAGCACCTATAGTCACCAGCAGGGTTTTCCTATATGTGCAACCATAATCACCTGGCTTCATTCATTCCTTTAGCAAATCCTACAATTATTCATTGAGCACCTACTGTGTATCAGGACCTGAGCTGGGTAATGGGAATACGACTATGAAGAGAACATGTGGTCACTAACCTTTTTGGACCTTGCATCCTACTTAGTGAGATAGGCCCCAGGAAGTAAATAACTAATTTCAGGTGGAGAGACATGTTATGATATAAACTTAGCAAGGTAAGGGGTGAAAGTGAGAGGGCTGACCAGGAGGACCTTTCTAAAGAGGTGGCCCTTAGATAGAAACTTGAATGAAGAAAAGAGAGCAAGTGACGTGAAGGACATGGGGAGGGTGTGCTGGGCAGTGAGTGCAAAGGCCCTGGGGTAGGAAAGAGATGGTGGGTTTGAGGATGAGGAAATGTCCTGTGTGGCTGGGTGGTAGGAGATGGGGCTATGGCGGTGGGTTGGAACAGACCCTGAGGTGAAGTTTGGATTTTATTCCAGGAGCAGTGAGAAACCAGTGGAGAATGTTGAGTGAAAGGGGATTGTTATGGCCCCTCTGGCTGCTAATGGGGAATAGTCTGTAGAGAGGCCAAGATCATGGCAGGTAGCTCAGAAAGAGCTGGAGCACTTCCAGGCAAGAGGTGATGGTGACCTAGAACAAGTCAAAGCAACAGAAGTGGTGAAAGTGGCCAAACTCGGGATATATTTGCAAGCAGAGCCGACATGATTGCCAATGGGTTGAGTGGGGGGTGAGGGATGGAGAGAAGTCAAAGACAGCTCCTGAGGCTTTCACCCAGGCTCCTGGGCAGATGGCAGGGCCGTCAACTGAGAGGGGGAGGCTTGGTCTGAGAACAGGACCAGCGTCTGGGTCTGTACCTTGTCAATAGCTGGCTATGGGTTGAACAACCAAAATTGTATGGAGCTAGTTGTCAGGGGCCCTCGGGACAGTTCACAGCCCAGGGCTCCCACATCTGGCTCTTGCCCTAAGAGCATCTGTAAAAGGATCTGATTCCAAATCCCATTGCCAGGCCCTGCTTACAGATAGGCCAGCCTTGCTTCTCGGCACAACGCCTTCCCTGTTCTGGGGTCCCTCAACCTTGCGGGGCCTCTGTTCTTTCTTTGTATAGTATCAACATCACCAACATTCAGCTGGACTATGGCGGGATCCAGATGTCTTTCCACAAGGAGTGGTTCTCGGCAAACATCTCACTTGAATTTGACATTGAACTGAGACAGTGAGTCATACAGAAGCGGCATCTGAGAGGCACTGTTCCTCCTCATTGGGAACCTGGGAGCTAGGGGGAAACTTAGCAGTCTGGGAAATCCAGATCTTTCTGACCCCAACTTGAATTCAAATCCCAGCTTCAGCACTCACTTGCTGTGTGACCTTGGGCAAGTCACTTTACCTCTCTGAGCCTTGGTTTCTTGAGTTGAAATGTGGATGACACTCATTAGTTGGTGGCAGCAGGTCATTTGCTCATTTAAACCTATGTGTGTTCACTACACCGGGCTCATTTAAAGAAAGGGAGAAGCGTTTTAATGATCTCAGCACCCTCTGTTCACCATCCTGTTCAAATTACCCTTTGACATCCACTGTCCCCAAGGAAAGGGGGGCCACAGCTGAATGGACAGGTTTTTGAAATCAAGATTAACTCTCATTTTTTGAATTTCCAAGGCCTCTAATCTGTTCTATTTAAAGAAATCTCAAAAGTCTTTCTGGCTAATAGCCATTTTCTCCTTAATCACTAACCTCAGGATTTAACTGGGCCTGGTGTGTTGAAAAGACCCAGAATGCCATGGGCAGCCCCAATGGTGGGCAGTGCCTGCCTCGCCCACATGACAGTCACTCTTCATGTAGCTGCTTCCACCGCCCTCTGTTCCTTCTCTACCTCCGCCCATCCCCCCATTTGCAGGCCCTTCAATGACAACATCCTAAAGTTGTGTGCACACGTGAACCTCTCTGTGGAGTTCTGGCTGGAGAAAGACGAGTTTGGCCGGAGGGATCTGGTGATGGGCAAATGCCGTGCAGAGCCCAGCAGTGCCCACATGACAGTGCTAACTGAGTAAGGCCCCAGCGCCACTCCACCCAGTCTGGGCCCCTTCCTAGCAGGCCCTAGATGCAGCCTCACTTCCCACCACCTCGTGGATGAGTCCAAAACAGATCTCATCCTCTCCCCAGGATCTGCTCCTCCTCCTCTGTTCCTATCCAGTGACAGCCCTGCCACCCTCCCAGGAGCCAGACTCTTTGTCCTCTTCACTCCCCTAGCTCGTCTTCACCGGTTCCCATCAATGACCTCCTGACAGCCCTAGGTGGCTCCCTTTCTCTCCATCCCCACAGCCACCGCCCCAGCCTATCGTCCACTACCTGGACCATTGCAGGAGCCTCCTGCTGGCTCTCCCTGACTTGGACCTCATCTCCTACACTCCATGCTCCAGCCTGTAGCAGAAGCAACTTTCTAACACAGAAACCTGGTCATGCCCCCAGCCCCTGCTCCAAAGCCTCCAATGATTCTCCCATGCCCTCTGGATGAAGAGCAAACTCCAGAATGTCACTCAAGGCCCTACGTGTCCTTTCCTCTGCCTGGCACTGTAGTGCTTTGCCCTCCGGCCTCTGTGAAGGCTCCACAGCACGCCGCACATTTTCGCACCACTGCGCCTTTGCACCTGTGAATCCTTTGGCCTGGGATGCCCTTCCTGCCTTCTCTAAAGCTCCTCCTCATCACTCATTCATTCTTCTGTTTCTCAAGAATCTGCTATGTGCCAGGCTCCATGCCTGATGCTGGGGACACAGTGGGGAACAAGACAAAAGGAAAAAGAAAAAAAAAAAAAAGAGCTTAATGAAGCTCTGCAGACTGGCTGACCACGTCTGTCAACTTCAACAGACTGTGAGTCTCTTGAGGGCAAGATTTGTATCTGATTTATTTCTGTAATTCCAGAATACTGAAAACAACTACGACCTTGGTGGATGTCTGTTCATTTATTCATCAGACGTTCGTCGAGTGCCTAGATTGTTCCAGACATTGAGACAAAAGGAAAAAGAAAAAGAAAAAAAGAGCTTAATGAAGCTCTGCAGACTGGCTGACCACGTCTGTCAACTTCAACAGACTCTTGAGGGCAAGATTTGTATCTGATTTATTTCTGTAATTCCAGAATACTGAAAACAACTACGACCTCGGTGGATGTCTGTTCATTTATTCATCAGACGTTCGTCGAGTGCCTAGATTGTTCCAGACATTCACGGGAGGACAGTGTAGGGGAAAGACTGCGGACTCTGGGGCTCTACTGACATAGTTCTAATACAATTAGTACTTACTAGCTGTGTGACCTTGGGCAAGTCACGTCACCTGTCTGAGTTACCCCTTAGACAATGATACTTCTTGAATAGGGCTGGGCAAGGATTAAGAGACTGTGTAAGGTGTACTCAACATATACCACTTGGCATTAATTTTGCTGGATTTATTTGTTCTGTTCTGTACACTTACTTCTCTTTCTAGGGCTGTCCCACCAAAGATGAAACCTTTTCTCCACAATCTCAAAGAGAACTTAGAAAAAGTTATCCCACACCTGATAGAAAACCAGGTAAGTTTGAGAAAAGTATTTGTGCCTTGGGCATCCTTGATACTGAATATCAAGGCATATGTATATATAGGTAATTTAGCAAAAGGTTTCAAACCTTGGGCTTTAGAACCGGAAAAAACTCAATTAAAAAATTCATTTTTGCCATGGGTAAGAGATTTAGCTTCCTCAGCCTCAGTTTCCCCATCTGTAGCATGGGAACCATCACAATCCCTATCTCATAGAGTTGTCATGAGGTCTCAGGGAGACAAAGCACGGAAGGACCACGCATGACATTTAGTGTGTAGTTGATGCTCGATACAAGGGAGCCTCTCTTGCCCCAATTCCTGTTGGAAATCCAGCCACAGGCAATCCGGTTTTCTTTTCCCAGCCCCTGTCCTGACCCTTCTCTCTGTGCTGGTGGCTCAGGTATGTCCTCTGATCGGTGAAATCCTCAGGCAGCTGGATGTGAAACTGCTGAAAAGCCTCACAGATGAGTGTCTGCTCTATCCAGGAAGGACTCCTCAGGGTTGGCAAGTGGCTGAAAGAGGTACCCCCAGGCCTGGAGCCCCCAGTGAGGCCTGCTGAGGGGTATCTGCAGGTGCTGTGAGAACACTTTAGAGGTCACCATATTACAATGACCACTACTGTCCCTTGGGAGACCTGAGGAGACCACTACCAAGCAGGTTGTGCCCTGCCAAGTCACTCAGATCCTCAGGTTACCAAAAATTCTAGCTTCTCTCAAGATCTCCACCCAAACCAGTACGGAACACTGGCCCCACTCCAAACCCAGACCACCCCCACTCTGGTTGCTGGTAAATAGCCAGTCCCTGCCCTCATGGAGCTCACAGTTTAGTGAATGGAAGGCAACAAGAAGTGAATAATTGAATATCACTTGGAAAGAGTTTTAATGTGAATGCTCCTGGCACCTGCCCTTAGTGGGCATACATGGATGAGAGTTTCCATTCAGTGTGGCCCTGGGGTTGAAAGGGTGGACATGCTGGTGACTGGCGTTGCCTCTTCTCCTTACAGAACAAGCTGCTGCTCATGAATTCAGCCATCCATGAATCCAGGTGACCCTCCACACGCCAGGCTGGAGGCTCCTCAGCTGTCTACTGTCGATCAGAAAGAGATTCCACATCATGAGACCTTAAGTCTCCCTCAGAGTGGGGCTTCTGATATCCCTGAAACCTTTATTGTAGGCCCTGTGGACACCCTGTCCTCTCCCACAATAAACTCTAGCTTGAGGTGTGCATGAGTGCCCCGCCTGGGCCCTGAGCTCTAGGTCCAGACGTCGGACCTGATCAAGTGTCCATTCTGAAAATGAACATTCCCAGGTTTGCTCATCAGCCCAGAAATGGCAGAGAAAATGCTCTTGGCCTGTATTTTGCAGCCAGAGGCCCACCAATGTCTTTGCTCATCAATGCAGGGAGGGGCCTGTTGCGATTTCCCAGCCCTTCATTCATTCAACCCATATTTATTGAGCACCTGTTATGTGCCAAGAACGTTGCTGTGCTCCAAGGGGGTGTACGGAAAGGGCGACAAAGTGGAGAAGTAAAAACATTGGCACTAATCAGATCTGAGTTTAAATTAGATTCAGCCCAACTAGAAGTTCCATGAAGGTATGGACCCCATGCAGCATGGTGACAATCAATCTCCAGCCCTTGGCATAGGGCTGGCACAGAACGTGAGCTCAGCAAATATCTGTGAATAAATGAGTGAATGAATCCTAGTCTTAGGACTCACTAGCTGTGTTTGGGACAAAGGACTTTACCTTTTGGTCTTTACCATCTGCAAAATGGGAATAGAAATCTTGCAGGATGTGGAACAACAGGAGCTCTCACACACTGCTGGGGGGAGGTAAAGGATGCCACTACTTTAGAAAACTGTGTGGCAGCATCTACTAACGCTGAACATATGCCTGCTCTATGACTCCACAATTCCACTGCTAGGGTCTACTCAATGGAAACACCTGCATGTATGCACCAAAGGACAAGGAGGCTCATAGCAGCAATGTTCATAGTAGCCCCAAACTAAATACTCTCCTAAATGCCCACCAAAAGAATGAGTAACTAGAATGGGTAAATGTCTTGTGGGATAGTTCCTCACTGGAATACTCTGTAGTAATGAAAATGACTTGCTGCTGCACATGACCACATGGATGAATTTCCTAAAGGTAATATTAAATGAAAGAAGCCAGACACAAAAGAACATGTGTTGCATCTCCCATTTATATGAAGCTCAAAAATAGCAAAACTAATCCATCCCATCAGAGGTCAAGGTAGTGGTTACCTTGGGGCAAGGGTTAGCAACTAGGAGGGGCTCAAGGGGGCTTCTGGAGAGTTGGTAACGTTCTTTCTTGATCTGAGTGCTGGTTATGGGAGGGGTGTTTGGTTTGTGAAGATCTATTGAGCTATTCACTATGTATATTTTTCTTATATGTAATATATTTTAATAATTTTAAAAATTAAAAAAATATATTTACCTTACAGGTTATTTGTGAGGAGTATGTGAAAACCGTTTGCCATATGTTTAGCATGTGCTAGGTCCATGTGAAATACTTACCAAATGTCATTTAACTCATTGTTAATTGTTTGGCTATTAGCTATTCAATTATTAAATATTGGTTCGCACCCTCCTCCAGCCAAGGCTTGGGAGAGCATCCTGAGAAATCAAGAGGGAATGACACACATGTTAATAATGACAGCACACACATACTCGCATTAAGTACTTGGTATGTGCCAAGCTTGGTGCTCAGAGTTTACATACAGCGTCTCATCAATGCCTCACAGCAACCCCATGAGATGCAAAACTGTTATTCCATTTTACACATGAGAACACAGAGAAATAAAGTCACTTGCCCAAGGTCACACAAGTTGACTGCACTCAGGGAGCCAGATTCTGGAGCTCACATTCTTAACTACTGTAAATCCCCCCTCCCAGTCTTCTCTCCTTTCCTTTCAGCACCCCCCACCCTGCCACATCCACACACACACAGAGAGACACACACGCACACACGCACTGAGGGGGGAAATGGTGAAATACGTGTTCAGCTGGACTGACGAGCTCGAACAAGGAAGTGTCCACAGCCCAGGGATGAGAACAGGCGCCTCCTGAGAGCCTCATGTCTCCATCTTTCAATTCCAGCTCCCTAATCCGAAATGCTTCGTAGATGGTGAAATACGTGTTCAGCTGGACTGACGAGCTCGAACAAGGAAGTGTCCACAGCCCAGGGATGAGAACAGGAGCCTCCTGAGAGCCTCATGTCTCCATCTTTCAATTCCAGCTCCCTAATCCGAAATGCTTCGTTGGGGATTTGCAACCCTAAACGCCCATGTTCAAACAGATGATCCCCCTTGACAGCCTTGAGTTTGTGGGGTTCTTTCTGCTCATGATTCAAAGAACAAACACAGGAGGGCTGGGCCCATCCCAGGCGAGGCTGTCTGGGCCCTTGGCTAAGACGGTCCTCCAGGGGCCTCCTTGGGTTTCTCTCATTCCATTTTCATTTTAAGGTTCACAGAGATGTGGACTCATCACATTTTCTCCTGGAAGGGATTGTTGGGAAATGGTCCTCTATTGTGACACTGCGATCCACAGTGGGAGGTGGTTTAAGCCAAAATTCAGCCTCAGGGATTCAAGAAAAATGTGTGAACACCTGAGTTTATGAGCTGCCCATCTGTGCTTCTAACTCCCATGCCCTTCACTGCAGGTGCTGCCTCTGTGCCAGGTATCGGGCTGGGAGCTACATTTCCTTCCCCAAATTTTAACCCTCCCACAGAACCAGGAGGTGAGTGTCATTAGCTCCATCGTATAAGTGAGGAAATGAGGTTCAAAAAGAGGAAATATTGAATAAGTTCTAAAGATCTAGCTACTGTACGACATGGAGCCTGCAGTGAATGACACCGTATTGCATACTTCAGAGTCTGTTAAGAGGGTAGACCTCATCTTAAATATTCTTACTAAAATAAAAATTTTTTTTAATTAAAAAAATTAAAAAAGGAGAGAAGCACCTTGCCCAGAGTCATACAGCTGGTAACTGGCTGAGCCAGGCTTGGAACTCAGAGCTGCCTGACTCCACAGTCAATGAGAGGACTCAGAGAAGATGGACAGAAAGGGCTTTCCACACTGAAGACTGCGATGAAAACTTGCTCTCGAAGTGACAGCACTAAGCTGGCCAGCCCCAAATGACAGTCTGACTTCACCCCTGCCCAGCTGAGGTGACCCTGGGCAGGTTACTGCCCTCCCTGAGCCTCAGTTTCCCCACAGGAGTGTTACAGAAGGTATCAAGGTCTAGTGTCTCATAGAAGGTTATTATTATTATTATTATTTGCTCTAAATGCGGGTGGGAAGATTCACGATAGCTTTCCAGAAATCCTCTGAAGTTTCCAAGCCCATCCGAAGGCCCCTTCTTACTCAGTCCCCAACCAGACCTTACTCCCAGGGAACAGACCTACCATCCCATTCCCAAGTTCTGGAAAATAGCCTTTCATAGGTCAGAGCCCTTTGAAAAATAAAATCAACTCTGCCCTTTAATAATTAATCTCTGACTCACAAAATGACACCAGTCAAGGTTCCGAAATACAAATATAATCTCATAAGTAAGAAGAAAAGAGCACCATTTACAGTTCTTGAGAAACACACTGAGATGTCATTGATGTCACCAGTGTGGGAAAACAATGTCTTAAAATGTTACCCTTGTGTCCTTTGTTTATTCCCTGATGCCCTGAGACACTTCCCCTGCTCAGGGCATGGATCATGCAGCCCCTGTGGCTTCAAGCAAGGGCAGTTTCAGCAGAAGCGGAAAGAAGGCTCCTGGGTTCCAAAGGCTGGGGTTTTGACAAAACTATAGTGACAGAGAGCAGATCGGTGGCTGCCAGTGGGTGGGGTGAGTGTGTGACTATATCAGGGCAGCATGAGGGTCTTTTTTGGGACAATGGAACTGTCTTATGTCCTGATTACTACAATGGTGGCCACATAAAACTGTACGAGTTAAAACTCATAGAACCGTACACCAAAAGAAAAAGTCAATTTTACCGTACGTTAACTTTTTTGTGTTTTTAAAGCCTGGGTTTTTGAATTTTAAAACTCAGGACATAGGAGACTTTGAGACTAGCACACACATGGTGAAGTTGAAGCAAGCAAGCCTTCCTGCCCAGGACTAGAAAATTCCCCATGTGGGGTGGTGGAGGGTGATAGCCCAAGAGAAACTGAAGAGAACATAGTTCTGGTGGGTTCTGGAAAGTGTCTCGTGTCCTTGCCAGTCCCCAGGCAAACCTTGGCATGGGGAAGGGGTTACAGAAAGCCCAGCAGATGTGCTGGGTTCAAGAACAGAGGGTGTCTGTGCCACACTCTGTCCCAGAGCCAAGAAGGTGACAGGCCCCAGCGAGAGATGGTTGATGGGAGGGTCTAGCTGGGGCCAGGCAGACGGGCTTGAGCAGCCCAAAGAATCCAGGAACAGCAGAAGAATTCTGTGTGTTTAAAAAGCGGGTTGAAAGTAAGTGCTAAATCCAAAGAGGCCTTTCAGACAGAAGGGGAGCAAGTTGTCTCAGCAGCGTGGGGGCCAGATGACACATGGACATCTCCATATTTCCAGTCAAAATTAGGGACAGAGAAGCCTCCTTCAGGTGTCTTGGCACAAATGAAGTCCCTGGAACAGAAATAAAACTCAGGGGAAAACAAAAAAGTTTGTTACTGAGTAAAAGGGCATCTGAAGTGGTAATTGAACTAGAGATAAATTAGAAAGAAAAATGTGTGAACACCTGACTTTATGAGCTGAGAGTCATACCAGGTCCCCAAGAAAAATGTGTGAACACCTGAGTTTATGAGCTGAGAGTCATACCAGGATCCCCAAATGTTATATCCCCATTTCCCTGTGAGGTAGATATCATCCTGCCATTTTACAGATGAGGAAATTGAAGTCTGGGGACTGGAGTGACTAGCCCAGAGTCACAGGATTTGAACAAGGGCTCTTTGAGCCAAAATCCGTCTGCTTTCTGCCGTAACACGCACACAGCCTCCTGGCTTCAAATCAGAGAATGCAAGCTTTCCATTAACTGGCTACACAAACTTGACTCAGTTTCTGCCTTATTTGCCTCATTTCCCCGCAAAGATAGTAGCAACCCGACCCAACCCACAAGAGTTGCAAAAAGATAACAAAAAGAGGGACCACTCTGAGGATGACTGTCACATACAAACTGGGGGAAATGTCCAGCAAGGACCTTGAATAAATAACTGAGTTCAAAACCACTGCCCTGGCCCTTTGGAGGCACCGACTGGCCCCTTGGAGGCACCGACTGGACACTTGGAGTCACCGGAGCAGGCACGGTGAAGGCATGGCTTGAGGGGAAGGCGTCAGGGCTCAGATGGACACGGGGATGGGGGAGGGGTGATTTGCTCCAACCCTCACTTGCTGTGTGTCCCCGGGAAGTAGTCACCCTCTCTGATCCTCGTTCTCCTCATCTGACATATGAGGAACGTCATTATGAAGCACTCTCATGGAGATGAGGTTCAAGTGTGGAGAGCACCCAGCACACAGTAGGTGCTTCATAAATACACATTTCTTCCTTCTCTCCCCACTTTGGCTTATAAGGTGTTAGGCTTTGCAGGGCAGAAGCTGTTCTCACCATTCCAATACCTTGGCTTCTTTGTGCTTCAGGATTTTCATCTGCAACATAGATTCCAAAGGCCCAAGTGATGGGGACAAATGCCTTGTCACTTCATCTGAGGAAGGGCAGAAGAAAGGGCAAGGGTAGAGACCAGGGCGCCACAGGACCCCTCAGGCCTGGGAAGCTGGAATATAAAATATATAAATATATCTCCAGGATATAAAAGTGGAAAGCACGAGAGCATGAAACTCGCAGACGTGGGAAATCAGAATGGACAGCGAGCGTGGAGAAGGCCTCTTCACCTCCCCACACAGTGACGCAGAGAAAGGTCTGGAGTGGGAATGTCTCTCCCCATGCCAGCTGGGCCACTCTGGACATGTCACCTCCCATCCAGAGCCTCAGTTTTCCCCTCGTAAAAACTCATTCCCTCCTCACACAAGGCTGGGAGGATTCGGGGGATGCTGTGTGTGAAAAACAGCGCCAGGCCTGGCATACAGCAAGACTCGGCAATGACAGCTGTCAACATTGTTTCCATCGCTATCTTTAACCAATGAGTTGAGTTGTAACCCAGCCACGTCCTCTCTGTGACTTTGTGCACTTGTCCCCACTGGGCCTCACTTTCCTCCTCTGTAAAGGAGGTGCAGTCACCTCTCCCAGGGTTCTTGCAAGGACTTAGAGCCCCCATCTCATCACTGCGTGCAATACAGGCTCCGAAAAACAACCGGCCCCTACCCTGGAATTGAGGGACACTCTAGATGTAGGAAGTCAGATGTAGTTTGACTCTTTGACACCGTGGGAGCAAGAATCCTCCAATTGCAATAAAAGAATCAGGCCAGGAAAGGAAAAGAGCCAAGAGATGAGACTGAGGTCCCCTCCTGGGCTCCAACTTGCTGCTGCTTCTTAAGTTCCAAACATGATCCTCCGGGTCACCTGGGAGCGTGGGTTCCCAGCCTCAGCCCCTCTCATGAAACCATGAAGTCTTGAGTAACATCCCATATCATGTTTTTCTTTGTTTAACTTGTCGACCAAATAGCTTAACTGTCCCACCTGCTAATGTGATTGGCAATTATTTACTTTGGAGAGCCCTGAAAGACACTACCAGATTGCAGAATTCTTAATTATCTAGATACTCATCATCCAATCATTAGTTTCCTGATTCCCATGCTATAAAAGAGGCTGGCTGCTTGGCAGAAGTGGGTAGGAGAGAGAAGAGGAGACCAGGACAGCCGCTGAGACCTCTGAGACGCTCAGGTGAGACCTGCCCCCTCCGCTGCCCCTCTCTGCTGTCCTGGTGGCAGGAATGCTGGTCTCCTTGCTGTGGGGCAGGAACTGACAGACTGCACTCAGAACCACTCCCTGGGGCTCTTGCAAGAGAAACTGAACTGGCCACTGTCAAGGACATGGGGATGGCCATTCACTCCGCTTTCCTAAGAGAATGCTAACACTGGTATAGAAACGAGTGCTATTCATACCCTAACTGAGATCTCTAAGGCAAGAGTTTCAACTTGAGGTTGCCAGTGTGGATAAAGATCATCCACAAACCTCCTAAAACTGGCTGCCCAATTTGGATGCTTTTTTCTGTGACTAAGGTCTTTAGCGTTCATTGGATTCTGAACAGGTCTGTTGCCCAAAAGAGATCCAGAGGTCCTGGTCAAAGTTTAACTTTATGGGGAGGCCACCCTGACTCTTTGGGCCAGAAACATCTTTCAATTCCCGCCAGCCACAACACTGATGGAAATCTGGCCACAGGGGACAGTTGATGGAATTTTGCCCAACGCAGCTAATTGTCCCCAAAGTACGAGTTCTGACCTGTCCCCACAGCCATGGTGATATAGTGTGACTTGCAAGGGTGTCCACAAACCATCATGGCCTGAACCCAGACCAAAGGACTTAATGGGGATGATGGCAAAGCAGTTCAGTTCTTCAGCTGCTTGCATGTTTAAGCCTTTCACGTGCTTTTTCTGAAGAGCAGGACCTCAGGGCAAGGATCCAAGCCTTTGTGAGCAAGCCCGATCAGAGAGTAAATCTGATGGTCAATTAATTTAAACAGAGGCCTGTGGGTCAGACAGATCTGGCTCCAAATTCTCTCTCCACTATGCACTTGTGACCTTGGGGGAAGAACTTACCCACACTTGCTAGGTCTCCATTTCCTCACCTGTGCAACGCAGGCAGTAAGTGCCCGCATCTCAGGGTTGTGCTGAGGATGAAAGTGGTTACCAAGTGTAAGGCAGCCTGTTGCCTGGCGCTCAGCAGTACTAACTATTGCTAATCACACCTCGTGTTCTGGGAGCAGACAAACGAGAACTCCACCCTCAGTGGGGCATGGATAAATTCTTCTCATATCCTTGCCACACTAGGCCCATCGTTCTGTCCACAGATACCAGGAGACAAGATGTTTCAAACTGGGGGCCTCGTTGTGTTCTGTGGGCTGTTGGCCCAGACTGCAGCCCAGCTTACAGGCCTGCCCTTGCCCCTGAACCAGGCCCTGCCCTTGGCTGTAACTCCAGCCCTGCCCTCAAGTCCCACAGATCTCGCTGGGAGCTTGACAGGTGGTAAGTGAGCCTGTGACAGCCTCTTTAAGGTGTGTGTGTGTGTGTGTGTGTGTGTGTGTGTGTGTGTGTGTGTGTGTGTGTGTGATCATCCAGAGGGGAAGAAGGGCAGGGATAAATGGGGGAGAGAGTCTGAGGGTCTGGAATTATGAGATCTGACCCCTAGAGATCCTTATACCTATTTCCAGCTCTCAGCAGTAGCCTGCTTTCTGGGGGTCTGTTGGACATTCTGGAAAACCTTCCACTCTTGGACATCGTGAAGACAGCAGGAGGCACTTCCAATGGCCTGCTTGGGGGCCTGCTTGGAAAAGTGACTTCAGTGATCCCTGGCCTGAACAACCTCATTGAGTGAGTTGCCCTAAAATAAGGCCTTGTTCCCCTAGGGAACCCCAGTTGGACATCTGCTAGCCCCAGGCAGCAGCCCAGAAAAAGGGAAAGGCATGGTTAGAACATGGAGCTAGGACTCACTGCTGAGTCTTTTCTCCAGTCTGGCCGGGGACCTGGCCCTCTCATACCAGTAATCTCCCTAGTCCTGAAGCATGTCATGGGGCCCCAGCATCACTGTAATCTTTACAACAACCCTCTGATTTAATAATCTCCAGCCTGCAGATGAGACAACCGAGGCACAGAGAGGTGCCTGTGCTCACGCACTGGAGGCGTACAGAGTAAGAAGTTGAACTTGAACTTACTTAAGTCCAAAGCCATGGCCTTTTCTACTACACCGTGGTCATTTTGTTCTCCCCACTTGCGGAATCCCTTAGAACACAGGCTACCTCTGACGTAGGCGAGGGAGAGGAGGCTGTCTTCCTCAATTACATCATCAATGGGATGTCTATGGAATGATCTAACATCATGTTTTCCATGAGACACCTGATAGCTCTGTAAGCAAGAAGCAGTAGTGGAAAGCTTGATGCCAGCGGGGTGGCAAAGCCTGAGTCCCTGATAGTGCTGGATCAAAGCCATTTCCAAGATTCCTACCCATCCCTTCCCAACAAGCACTTGCCTCCCTGACTTGGAAAGAGACAGACTTGAGTTTGATTTCCAAATATAGCATGCACTTGCTGGGTGACCTGACATAAGGCAGTCAACCTCTCTGGGCTTGATTTCTCCATCTGTAAAATGGAGATTCTAGTACCCACAGAGAAAGACTGTTGGAAGGACTGAAGAAAATATGGACTGAAGATGACCTGGCACCGTGACTGGCTCAGACAAGAAGCTTACTTCCACTTTTTCTGCATTCTCCCTGACCTTCTGCTCCTCAATTGCTGTAATAAACACTGGGGATTGACCTGCCATTGAAGGTCATGACAGGATGAGTGATTCCTACCCGTAAATGTTTGTGCAGGGTTTACTCCAGTTGCCTGTATATCATCCATTCATCCACTGACCAATCCATCCATCCATTCACCCCTTTTTCCTTCCATCTGGCCACTTACTCGTCCGTCCATCCACCCGCCCACATATCCATCTACTCACCCTCCCATCAAGCCACAAATCAGCCAGTATGGACTAGCCACTTTCCTTGTTCGACTCTGAGCAGCATACAGGATGCCCATATCTAGATGTGGTCCCTAGACTAGACATGAGGAGAGGGCCATGTGTGTCAAGATCTGATCAAGGGCAGAGGCTGGGAAAGACCAGTGTGACTCAGAGCCCAAAGCGGCTTTTGCTGCAAGACTCCCAGATGGGTAGCTCCACCACTCGGATTAATAAGGTTGGGTTGAAGGTGGCTTCAGGGTTTGGGGACAAAGGAGTTAATGTTTCTCCCTGCAATGTTTTTTCCTGGACAGCATAAAGGTCACCAATCCCCAGCTGCTGGAACTTGGCCTTGTGCAGAGCCCTGATGGTCATCGTCTCTATGTCACCATCCCTCTGGGCATGGACCTCAATGTGAATACGTGAGTGCGTCCCATGGGGGAAAGGGAAGAGGCTCACCAGGGGAGTCAAAAAATGGATGTTAGACGCTAACACACCTGGGCCTCCAACTTCAGCTCACTTGCTGCTATGCTTAGTGACCTTAGGTCACTTGAAAAACTCACTTGACCACTTTGACCCTTGGTTTTCCCTACTGGAAAATGAGATGATTACTCCATGGGCAAGATGGAGTGAAGCGAGGGGAGGCATTCCTGGCAAGAAGAAAACCCCATTTGCCTTGGAACGTGGTGGGATCAGATACCAGTAGGGCTATCTCCTCTACAGGCAGCTGGTTGGAAGTCTGTTGAAGCTGGCTGTGAAGCTCAACATCACTGCAGAAATCTTAGCTGTGAAAGATGAGCAGAAGAAAATTCACCTGGTCCTTGGTGACTGCACCCACTCCCCTGGCAGCCTACGAGTCTCCGTGCTTGATGGGTGAGGCTGGGAGGGTGGCTTCTCCTGCCCAGAGACAACAGGGTGGGGTGATGGATGGATGGATGCAAATGTGGAACAATGGAAATATAGATGAATGAGAGGACAGAAGGATGGGAAGATGGATGAGAGGAAGGGAGAGAGGATGGATGGGTGGATGATGGATGGATGGATGGATGGATGGATGGATGGATGGATGGATGGATGGATAGTTAGATGATCAGGTGAACGGAGGAAAGGATAAACTCATAGATGTATGAACAGATGGATAGGAAAATGGATGGGTAAATAGTCACTTATCACTTCTTTAGTCAAACTGACCAATTTTAAGCTGGATTAGGCAACAATAATCTGAGTTTAAGCCCCGCTTACTACAGGGAGGTGGAGAGAGATGAAGGGCTTCCTGTGTGAACTTGAATACTGCCTCTGCAGTTTGGGTCTTGGCTTACCTATGTGTAAAATGAAACAACAGTGGGTTTATTGGCAGACTCCACCAGGATGATAGGTGTGAAAGCGCTTTGTCCTGGTAAGGGTTAAAATAGATATAGATCCTAACTAGGTAACTTATTTCAGTTACCTGTCATATGGGGAGACCGAGTCACACATAGGCTGTAAGAGCCATCCACGCCATGGCTGACATTTAGTGAACACACACACTGTGCTTCACATGCATCGTCTCATTGACTCCTCATGACAACCACCCACTAAGCACTGTTTGTCCGTTTATGGATTCTACAAAGTCGTATTGAACACCTACCATGTCCTGGACCTGTGTGTTTCTTCTACACATACCTGTGTGTGCTGCTGCGTAGGGTATAACTCCCTTTGGTGGGACCCTTGCTCTTTGGCGCACATGGATGTGCATGGACAAGGCCTGGTTTCAGGCACCGAGTGCTGAGACTGTGGGACACACGGTGGCCCCTCTGAAGGCTTCTGCATGTCAACCTCAGGCCTCTGCATTGCCCCGTGGCCTTTCTCTTTCAGACTCAACCCCCTCCCCATTCAAAGCCTTCTCGACAGCCTCACGGGGATCTTCAATAAAGTCCTTCCTGAGTTGGTGCAGGGCAAGGTAAGTGGGCAAAAATTGGAGGCCCCTGATCTTTGGGACTTAGAGCTTCTCAGGCTGAAAGCGAGCCCTGGGGTGAGCTGGTTTAAGACTGTAAGTTTGATAAGTAAATTCCATCCATCAATCTATCCACCCATTGATCCATCTGTCCATGTTTCTTCCTTCCATGCTTCCAAGCACATTGATTGGTTTCTGCTCTGGGCCAGGTCCTGCGCATGTCCACACTGCAGCTGAAATGCACTGGCTCCTGCCCTGAGAAGCTCCTTACCCAGCCCTCTGTGGCCACAGATGAGCAATCCTCCAGCCTGTGCTGGGGGCCTCCTATAACCAGAAACTCACCTCTCCCAGAGCACCCCACTCTATTTAGAAACAGACATGACATCCCAGCATGAATGCTGGGCCCGCTGTGTGATTTGAGCACTTCACAATACCCCTTAGGACTTCAGTTTCTCCTTCTGCCTAGTGTGCATCCACTCTCTGTGGATTGCTTTGAATCATACACTTTCAGACACAGAAAAGTGATTTTTTTAAAAAGCCCCCCGGAGAATGCAGGCTGAGGATGATGATGCTCCTAGGGTCTCCCTACAGGTGCCACTTAGCCTAACTCCCCTCTCTGCCCCGGGTCAGGTGTGCCCTCTGGTCAATGGGGTTCTCAGCCGCTTGGATGTCACCCTGGTGCATGACATTGCCGGTAAGTACCTGGTTCCAAGCCTTCTCTCCCCCTCTGCAGGAGCAGCAATTTCCCCCCAAGAAATTTCGTCCCTGTACACGACAGGACAGCTAGGTTCCTCTGGCATCAACTCTCCTCATCTTGGGTTTTTATTTCCCCTGAATTATCCGACAATTTGATGTTAGACCCTGTCTCCCCATCAGCCCTGACACTGAGTTGGTGGAAGGAAGCCTGGCCCACTCCAAGCCCAGCCTGAGTGTAGTGGATCCCCACAGCTCCCATTCCCTGGACTGCCACAGGGGAAATAGGTGTATTAGCCCATTTCTGTTGCTTATAACAAAATACACGGAACTGAGTGATTTTTAAGAAAATGAAATTTATCGTTTACAGTTTCAGAGACTGGTAAATCCAAAGTCCAGGGAAGACATATGGTGAAGGCTTTCTTTGGTGGTGACTTCAGAGACAACAATCACATTGCAAAAATGGCAGAGCAGAGAGAGGGAGATATTCCTTTTTAAAGACCTCAGAACCATGCCCCTGACCATCATTTTTAATCCATTCACTACAGCATGGTCCTCTAATCACCTCTTCAAGGCCCTACCTACCTTTCAATTACCATAGCAGGATTTCGCATCCTCTTAACACTGTCACAGTGGGGGTTAAGTTTGGGGGGAACACTCAATCCAAGGCATGGGAGACATTCCGGGACTCCTTCACACCAACATCATGACTCCAGTCTGTTTTTTTATTTCCTAGATATTCTAATCCACGGACTAGAATTTGTCATCAAGGTCTAAGCTTTCCAGGAAGGGACCTGGCCTCTGCTGAGCTGGTGAGTGCTGTTCCCCACTCCCCAGGATTTGGGTTCCTGGCTGTTCTGGTAGAGGGCAGCAGGGGGCTTGGGAAAATGACATTAAAAAAAAGAGACAAACATCCATATAGACACTCACACAGATGTACAGAGAAATCCACAGAAAAGCTGACAGAGGTGGAAAGACACAGGCGGCACAGTACACAGCTACAAAGAGAAACACGAATGGTGTGTTTCACACACAGACACACACACAAATGCCCAAACACATGGTCACTGATACGGATGTGCATACTCTCATACCAGCACATGCACACATGCGTGCACACATTTGCAGACTCGCCACACACAAGCTCACACATATACACAAACACACATTCATTCAAACACATGCATGAGAAGCCCCCAACCCCAGCCTGGCTACCCTTGTGGGTGAGATAAGACCCTCTTGCCCCAGGGTCTCAGCCTCCTCCTGTTCCTCTGAAGGGCGGGTCTGATGGGCCAGTAGCTATCAGTCAATGACCTTGAGTCTCCATTCTGATAGGAGTCTTCTCCCAACAGAACATTTCTTGCTGCTCAATCTATTACCTGCTGTCCAGCTTCCCAGAGCTCACAGAAGCCTGGTCCATGTGCCAAAAAATGCATGGCTGCCTTCTATCCAAGGAACCTACTCCCCCTGCTTTCCCACTAGGCATGTGTAACACCCCATGTTCCTTAACAAATAAAATGGCTCTTCTGCACTGGGGACTTTGTCATTCTTCACCATCACTGGAGGGCTCACGGTTTGGAAAGAGCCTTGGCCTGGGTGGTTGGGGCCATAGAACAGAGTTTGGACCTTAATGGTCTCAAGCAGGTCAAGGAGATGTTCAGATATATGTGGACTTCAGAACGATTGCCCTGGTGTCCTTAGGAAATGTGGACAAGAGGTGTGGTACATGTCATAGTCCAGGCACAGGTGATAACACACAAGGTTGCTACACAAGAGTGAAAATGGCAGAGGTGAGAGATGTTCAGGAGGTGGACATGGAAGGCTATAGGTGAGGGAGCAGGTGAGGCTCCCATCCATTTCTCAGGTTGGGGAGCCCAAAGGTGACTGGGAATGTGGGAAGATGAGTCAATTCCAGCATGAAGATTACACCTTTGGTTCTGGCCACTCGTGTGAAAAAGCCTGAGACACTTGCAAGGAGACATCCAGGAAGCTGATGGGTACACAGGTCATCGGCCACCTCTCTTTTGCTTAGTTGGACCCACTCATACTGGCCTCTTTTCTGTTCTCTAAGCAGGAGAAGGATAAAAATGACAAAGAGGAAGTGCAGCAGGAAGGACGAACTGGTCCAGAGTGTAACTGCTGAAGGGCTTGAGAAAGATAGGCCCAGAGAAAGGGTCGCTGGATTGTAAATAAAAAGATTATTGACGCCTTGGGTGAGAGTCATATTTTTTGGAGGAGGTAGCCTGATTTTTTTTTTCTTTTTTTTAAAAAAAGATGACCGTTAAGGGGATCTTAACCCTTGACTTGGTGTTGTCAGCACCACGCTCTCCCAAGTGAGCGAACCAGCCATCCCCATACAGGATCTGAACCCATTGGCTTGGTGTTGTCAGCACCACGCTCTCCCAAGTGAGCGAACCAGCCATCCCCATACAGGATCTGAACCCATGGGCTTGGTGTTGTCAGCACCACGCTCTCTCAAGTGAGCTGTGGGCCAGGAAAAATCAGGAAGCCTGATTTTTGAAAACTGAGAAGAGGAGGAAAGGTAAAGAAATTCAGGATGTGTATGCAGATAAGATTCATGAAAAACTAGAGGCAAGAAGAAAAGACGGGACAATCTAGGCTGCAGAACACTGTTTCCTTAAATAAAAACTACATATGCTCTCATTGCTTGAGGTCCTTAGTGGACTAGCCCAACCCTTTTACTCCACAGATGAGGACAGTGAGAACTTGGGATGTGTGTGCATGACTTGCCCAAGGTCAAAAGTGATAAAAAGGGGCGGGCCCGGTGGCGCACTGCTACAGTGCGCCGCTTGGGAGTGCGGTGGCGCTCCCACTGAGGGTTCGGATCCCACATACAGACCGGCCGCTCACTGGCTGAGCGAGGTGCGGGGGCAACACCGAGGGTTGCGATCCCGTTGCCGGTCACGAAAAAGACAAAAAAGGAAGAAAAAAAAAGTGATAAAAAGGCCAAACAAAGACTGGAAACATACCAGACTTTACACAAAACCTTGTCCCTTGCTCTTTGGGAAAGCCATTGACCTTGTGGAAGTAGCAGATTCAGGTTAGTGTTTCTCAGATCTTTCAGATTCAAAGGGTAGTAAACCAGAGATGCGCCCATTCCCCAACCCCTGTCAAACATCTGTCATCAAGTCCAGACCCACACCATCTCCTCCTACTTGCATTGTAGAAGGACAATCAACATGGCATCATAGAAAGAAAGTCCCATAGTTCAGGACTGCAAGGTTTATTGTGGAAAATCAGTGTGTGTCTTCTGGGAGGATTTAAATGAGGAAGCATCTTCCACACTCACAAAAAGTCTTTGAGTTCAGGATGAGTGGCTAAATCCCACTAAGCAGCTGGATGAGCATTGTGAATGTCTACCTAGGCAGTAACCTGAAGGGCAGAAGGGGAGAGATTAGTTCCCCCACCCTCTGCCCTCTTCCAGTACTAGGTGGTCAGAGGTGTTTCTGTCTATTATTTGGGGTACCCACTGTCCATGTATTGCAACCCAGGCTGTCTGTCCCAGTCCTGAGGCATGTATTGCATGAATTTAACATGCCTGACGTTTGCCTACCTGAATGGAAGGACTAGATGTTCCCAGCACCACTGTAGTACTCCTTGGTCTCATCTCCCATCTCTGTGGGGTCCCCTGCCGAGGAGAAGCATCAACTCCAGATTGAAGGCAGGGGGCCCTGTCTGGGGTATTGTGGAGCCTGAATCACAAACCACTCCTAAAATGCACAATCTAAAGAGGGAAAAAGAAAAATGATCGGTTGGGAACACTGACACTGGGATTCACAGGCAGCTCTAGCTCTTCTTTATGTCTGTAAAGCATTGTTCTATCCAGTGCTTGATGTGTTGTGTGTTCCTTGGTGACTCCCACACCAAGATGCAATAAACAGAAGGATTTAGAATTCTTTCCTGGAATTGATAACCGGTGCATGGTATTCTGCTTAGCAGATTGAACAAAAATTTCCTTTAGTGCCTGGAGCTGATAGGTCTCCCAGGATTTGCAGAGGGGCTCTGTGTACATGCTGAGACATGCTATATTAGTCAGGGTTCTCCAGAGAGACAGAATCAGTAAGATATGCTATAAATATATGGATGGGGATTTATTAGGGGAATTAGCTCACCCAGTCGTGAAAAGAAGTCCCACAACAGGCCATCTGCAAACTGGATGCTGGTAGCATGGCTCAGTCCAAGTCTGAAGGTCTCAAAACCAGGGAAGCTGGTGTTGTCCTTGGTGTAAGTCCTGGAACCCAAGCTGAAGAGTCTCAAGTTCTGATGTCCATGAACAGGAGAGAAGAGTGTATCCCAGCTCCGGCAGATAGACAGCAATTTGCCTTTTTTCTCCATTTTTGTTCTCTCTGAGCCCCCAGCGGATTGGAGGGTTTCCACCCACATTAAGGGCAAGTCTTTCCCACCCAATTCACTCAGGCTCTCATACTAATCTCTCCTGGAAACACCCTCATGGACACATATATATCTTTACCATGTTTCTCAGTGCCTTGGATTGAATGTCCCCCCAAAACTTGATCCCCACTATGACAGTGTTAAGAGGGTGGGAAATGCTATTACAGTAGTTGAAAGGTAGGGCCTCGAAGAGCTGATTGGATTGTGAAGACTGTACACTCCTGAAATGGATTAATCCATTCTTTGAATAGTGGATGTGGTTCTGAGGGCTTTAAAAGGAGAGCACGTGAGAGTTTCTCTCTCTGCTCCGTCATTCTCACCATGTGAGACCTTCCATCACCAAAGTTACTACCAAAGAAGGCCCTCACCAAAAGTGTTCCCAGGGCTTTGGACTTCCCAGCCTCCAAAGGTGTAAGCAATAAATTTCATTTTCTCACAGAGCGGTCAGTTCCAAGAGTTTTGTTATGAGTGGTGGACACAGACTAATACACTTACTCACTCATCGGGCAGATGCCTGGTCCACCTTGACCTACCTAGCTCATGTGAACCACCCAAAATGGCCCAAAGGGCCCCATCCTCAAGTGCATAAGCACCACAAACAGATAAGTATCGTGGGTTACTGCATTTGGTCCAAAACCACCCAGTATAATCAGTTCAACTTTTCTACTAAGGAGATTTGGAAATATTGTCATGTGAGCACAGTATCCAAGAGCCCCAGATACTGAATTCTCCCCTTTCCCCCGTTTATACTGACAGGAGTATAAGGCTACTGGTCTCTGGTGGAAACCCAGAGACCACGGCCCCATTCCTAACTGCACCATTCAGCCTGAGACATTTGGGTCTGCAATGTCCCTTTATAAAGCAAACACAACAACCAGGCTGCCTGAGACTTCCCTGGCTGTTTCCCATGTCTGCCCTTTTAGTCTGATTTCTCCCTCAGAGAATGACGTCATTTCAATAATCTCATTTTCAGCAATGCCATCAGTTGTTCAGTGTTTTGTGAAAACAGGTCTTACTTGAGGCCTACAAGCAGCTTTGACCAGGCAAGGCTCCCTCCACAGAAACCCTCATTTCCCTTGGCCATCATCTGGGACCCTGGGATACTATGGGAGTTGACACTATGTTTCATTTATTATTGTGCAGCCAGCAAATGGCCAACACCTCATTCAGTCCATAATCCCCCAGAAGAGCTGAGGCAATGGGGCTGAAGAAGCCACTGCATTTCCACTATGCCATGGTGTGTTTCTTTTGCAAGCCTGCTCAGTGTGCCAAACTGTTTAGCAGAACACTGTGCACTAGTTTCCAGTCCCACAGGAGGACGTCAAACATTTCTGCCTGTTGCATCTTGGTGGGGAGTCACCAAAGAAAATACAATGCAGTCAAGTAATGGATGGAACAGTACTGACATAAAGAGACAAAGCAAGATCAGTTTCAGTAGTTGGTATTGGTTCCCCATGCCAGAAGTTTCCCACAGCAAGTGACACAAGGCAATTGGCTTTGTACACTTCTCTCATGCCACAGAAGAATTCTGAACCCTCTCCTGTGGTGTCTGAAATACCAAAAGCTGGGGTGTGCCTGAGAGCCATTGTCCTTCTACACTTAAGCAAAACAAAGGAGCACGCATTGACTCTGAAATAGGGAAAGGTATTCCCACACAAGGAGGGAAGCCTGGTACAGGCCACGTACACTTTATATCTCTTAGATTAAAGTGTCCCAGGCCCAAGGTTCATTCTTATTTGGCTGAGTAGGAGTAAAAGGACGCCATGCATGAGACTGCCTTTTCCAACACAATCATTAGCCCACCACTAAGTTAACAGAGCATAAATACCGTAGCCACAGATGACAAAGCACACAGACTTTACAGAATTAGTTCAGAAAAGTCATTTTTTTAATTTTTAAAGTTTATTTATTTATTATTGTTTTTTACATTCTAAGATGTGGTTGCAGAGCAGTTGTGGGGAGGGGAAGAGAGGAAGGAGGAAGGAAATAGGGTGGGAGGAGGAGGAAGAAGGGGGGACATGGTTGAGGCCCATGGCATCCACCTCATTCCTGCAGGGGAGACCAGGGGGCTTCCAGAGGTGGCTTTGTTGTAGCGTGTTACTATGAACTCACAGG